TCTCGAATGGAATCCATTCCGGAACTCCGTTCGACTTCCAAAAGTGTTCAAAAACCAAGGCACTGCTTCCGATTGGCTGCAGGAGCTTCCTGCACTCAATTGGAAGCCGGGGAGGCCATGTCAGACGTTTGGCTTCCAAAAAACATTTGCAAACCAAAACACTCACTTCTGGGTTTGCGGCGCTCGGGAGCCAAAACGTTAGAGTCACAAGGCATTCGAGAACCAAGGTGCGACTGTATTTAAAAGAAACTCATCCTGCCCATCCCATTTAAGGACAACCACAGCAAAAAGATTATTTTTTGCTCAGCACGTAAAAGCAGACAGGCATTCTTCCTCAGGGACAGGATCCCACAAAGGAGGAGCCACCACTGAAAAGGCATTGATTAATAACGCCACCGTTGCTTCTCAAAATCAGACTCGCCCAAGATATTTGGAGGAGATCTCAATTGCCTGTTCCAGGATAAAGGTAAAGGGACCCCTGACCATTAGGTCCAGTCGTGACCAACTCTGGGGTTGCGGCGCTCATCTCGCTTTATTGGCCGAGGGAGCCGGCGTACAGCTTCCGGGTCATGTGGCCAGCATGACTAAGCCGCTTCTGGCGAACCAGAGCAGCGCACGGAAACGCCATTTACCTTCCCGCTGGAGCGGTACCTATTTATCTACTTTCACTTTGACATGCTTTCGAACTGCTAGGTTGGCAGGAGCAGGGAATGAGCAACGGGAGCTCACCCCGTCGCGGGGAATTCGAACCGCTGATCTTCTGACTGGCAAGTCCTAGGCTCTGTGGTTTAACCCACCCGCGTCCCAGGATAGGGATGTTTCAGGATAGGGAAACCTTAAAGCTGGAAGTGGCCATTCTAGCCACCGTGGTTCTGAATCAACAGGAGCTTAGGAAGCTGCCTTCTGTTGATCCAGACCACTGTTCCATCGGGCTCAGTATTGTCCACACTGATGGGCAGCAGCTCTCCAGGTGGGGGACAGTCCCCAGTCCTACCTGTTGGACTGAGATGCTTCCAGGGATTGGGGCCTTCCCCAGGCAATGCAGGTGGTCTACCGCTGAGCCAGATCCTTTCCCCAAAGGGAAAAAGCTCTTTGCACCAAGGTGCACCAGCGCCTCGAGCTCTGTATTGTCCACACTGACTGGCAGCAGCTCTCTGGGTTTTTGGAAAGGGGTCCTTCTCAGTTCTTTCAGGGGAGGATGAGAAGCAGGGGCAGGGTAGTGGATGTGTGTGACGGAGGGGGGAAGAACTGGCTTCACGGAACATCACATCCCTCTTTCTCCCTCATCTCCCTGCTTCCTGTGACCTTGAGCACCCAAACACCTGAGCTAACCCAGCCGGTGCCGAATCCCTCGCGAGGACCAGAGAAGTTAAATCTGGTTTAGGCTGGCTGCACAGCTGGGGCATTCAAAGCATGCCTTGGATCAGGCCCAGGCCCATGGTTTTTGTGTGTGTGTGTGTGTGTGTGTGCGCGCGCGCGCTTTTACTAAACACTTGTCCTGTTTCCCCTGTATTATCCATCTCCAACAATGGAGAGAGAATCATAGAATAGTACAGTGGTACCTCGGGTTAGGGGACGCGGGTGGCGCTGTGGGTTAAAGCCTCAGCGCCTAGGGCTTGCCGATCGAAAGGTCGGCGGTTTGAATCCCCGCGGCGGGGTGCGCTCCCGTTGCTCGGTCCCAGCGCCTGCCAACCTAGCAGTTCGAAAGCACCCCCGGGTGCAAGTAGATAAATAGGGACCGCTTACTAGCGGGAAGGTAAACGGCGTTTCCGTGTGCTGCGCTTGGCTCGCCAGATGCAGCGATGTCACGCTGGCCACGTGAGCCGGAAGTGTCTGCGGACAGCGCTGGCCCCCGGCCTCTTGAGTGAGATGGGCGCACAACCCTAGAGTCTGTCAAGACTGGCCCGTATGGGCAGGGGTACCTTTACCTTTACCTTACCTCGGGTTAAGAACTTAATTCGTTCCGGAGGTCCTTTCTTTTTCTTTTTCTTTTATAATATTTATTCAAGTTTAACAGATACAGAAAAAAGAAAAACAAGCAATAAAAAATTACAATAAAAAGGAAGAAAGAAAAAATACTAGAAAAAAAGAAAGAAAAAAAGAAGAAAAACATTTTAAAAACAAAAATACAGGTCCTTTCTTAACCTGAAACTGTTCTTAACCTGAAGCACCACTTTAGCTAATGGGGCCTCCCACTGCCGCAGTGCCGGCACGATTTCTGTTCTCATCCTGAAGCAAAGTTCTTAACCCGAGGTAATATTTCTGGGTTAGCGGAGTCTGTAACCTGAAGCGTCTGTAACCTGAAGCGTCTGTAACCCAAGGTACCACTGTACAGTCAAACCTTGGTTCTCGAACGGCTCTGTTTTTGAACATTTCGGCTTCCGAGCGCCAAAAACCTGGAAGTAAATGCTCCAGTTTTTAAACGTTTCTTGGAACCTGGACATCCTACACAACTTCCGCTTGGGTGCAAGGAGCTCTTGCAGGCAATCGGAAGCCGCACCTCGGTTGCTGAACATTTCAGAAGTCGAACGCTCTTCCGGAACAGATCACGTTCAACAACCAAGGTTTGACTGTAGAGTAGAAAGGGGCCCTGAGGGTCATCTAGTCCAACCCCCTGCAAATCAGGTATATGCAGCTGTCCCATACAGGGATCGAACCTGCAACCTCGGCATTCTCAACACGACGCTCTAACCAGCCAGCTGTAGCCATCTTGGCTGCAAGTCGCCATTGATAGCCTCCTCCTCCACAAATTTATCTAATCCTCTTTTAAACCCATCCAACATGAAGGCCATCGCTGCCCTGTGGCTGGGGAAGAGGTTTGGAGCGTTCTGAGGAGAGTCAGGGGCCAAATGGAGAGGTTCAGGGGGCCGCATTCAGGCCCCTGTCCTGTGGTTCTCCACCCCGTTTTGAGAAAAGATAGGATCCTGTGGAGACGACGTTTTCACCAAAGGGCATTTTGCAGGCTAACCAGCTATAACTTTATCGGCGCGATTAACCCACTTTCTGCCCCTTCCCCAAATCACTCAGGTGAGTTTTTGCAGCCCTTGCTCTTTGGCGGCAGTTCTGGCTGGCCGTCAACACATCGCCGCGCTCCCAGGGATTTCGGCCCACCGCCTCCAGCTGTCTGTTTCCACTGAACTTGAGTGACCTTCATCTGTTGCATCGAGTCAAAACCTGCCCAGCAGCATATTAGAGGCCCTGCCAGGGCTGCCTCAGAGAAGAGGGCCAAATCCAGCCTGCCAGACATCTCATACCCTCCAGCGCTTTGAAGCCAAAATCAGAGATGCCATCTCCCCGCTTTTTATCGCAAGAGCATGGCGGCCATTTGGGTTGCTGTGATCTCGTGTGATTTTACGCTGCAGTTCCCCTCCCAAAAAAACACCCACACTTTTTTGGGGAGGGGGAATTGTGTCCCGAAATCATGGCAACTAAAATGACCGCTGTTATCTCGCAATGAAAAATGGGGTGTCCCGTTGTTTCCGGGACACTTGCAGGATATGGCATCTCTCTTCGGCCCTACCAACCCTCTCAGGTGCTAAGATCAGCAGAGGGTGCCCTCTTGCTTGTTCCTCCGCCCTCAGAATCTGGGGTGGCAACGGCCTGGAATAGGGCCTTCTCGGTAGTGGCTCCTAAGCTGTGGGACTCCCTCCCCGCACAGGTGTGTCTGGCACCTTCATTATACAGCTTCCGAGGATGCTGCGGACACATCTCTTTATCCCGACCTTTGGCACCAGAGATGTATGTTTTTCATACCCACCTTAATCATACCCTACAAGTGCCCCAGTTTTCCCTCGGCATTCCCGGAATTGCAGAAGCCATCCCAGCTTCTGATTTCATCCTGGAATGTCCCATTTATCCCCTCCTGTGTTGTCGCCGAGTTTCAGGGAGGAGGATGAGCGGCTGCTTGCTGCAGCGATGGCACTTATAGTGGTGCTGCGCTCTTGTGTGAGTCCGCTGGCTTCCCCGAGTTCATGGCCCCGAAAGACACACCCCAGTTTTCATCAGAGGACTGTTGGAGGGTATGCCTCACTTCTGCGATTGTAGATTGTCTTAAACTATGCATAGTACAGTGGTACCTCTGGTTATATTCTTAATTCGTTCCGGAGGTCCGTTCTTAACCTGAAACTGTTTTTAACCTGAAGCACCAATTTAGCTAATGGGGCCTCCCGCTGCCACTATGCCACTGCCGCATGATTTCTGTTCTCATCCTGAAGCAATGTTCTTAACCTGAGGTACTATTTCTGGGTTAGCGGACTCTGTAACCTGAAGCGTATGTAACCTGAAGCGTATGTAACCCGAGGTACCACTGTATTGTGTTTTAATTTCTGTAACCTGCCCTGGGTTCTTAGGATGAAGAGTGGAATTATTATTATTATTATTATTATTATTATTATTATTATTATTATTATTATTATTATTATTTATACCGCGCGCATTTGGCTGGATTTCCCCAGCCACTCTGGGCGGCTTCCAACAGAATATTAAAATACAATAGTCTATTAAACATTGAAATCTTCCCTGAACAGGGCTGCCTTCAGATGTCTTCTAAAAGTCTGGTAGTTGTTTTTCTCTTTGACATCTGATGGGAGGGCGTTCCACAGGGCGGGTGCCACTACCAAGAAGGCCCTCTGCCTGGTTCCCTATAACTTGGCTTCTCGCAGTGAGGGAACCGCCAGAAGGCCCTCGGAGCTGGACCTCAGTGTCCGGGCACAACAATGGGGGTGGAGACGCTCCTTCAAGTCTACTGGACCGAGGCCATTTAGGGCTTTAAAGGTCAGCCCCAACACTTTGAATTGTGCTCGGAAACGTCCTGGGAGCCAGTGTAGGTCTTTCAAGACTGGTGTTATGTGGTCTCGGCAGCCGCTCCCAGTCACCAGTCTAGCTGTCGCGTTCTGGATGATGATGATGATGATGATGACTATGTTTATTATTATTATTATTATTATTATTATTATTATTATTATTATTATTATTATTGTGTTTATTCTTCTTCTTTGTAGCGATCTTCCAGACCACCCATCTGTCAAGTGGGACACTCAGCTGCTCTCCGCTCTGATCCTTAAGCATGTGAAGACCAACCAGATCAACCTGGTAAGACGTAGCCTTGAGTCTTCCTTTCGGAAATGGATGGGGGGGTGTCACTTGCAGGTCACTCCAGATGTTGTTAGGTTCAAACTCCCAGCACTCAGCCCAGCCAGTGGTCTAGGACCATGGTGGGTGGTGTTGAAGCCCAGTAACATCTGGAGGGCCACAGGTCTCTCCTCCTCAATCTTAGAGCCAATATTGTCCTACTGTGTACATGAGATTCAGGTAGGTAGCCATGTTGGTTTGAAACAGTCAAAATAAATTAAAAAATTGTCCAGTAGCACCTTGGAGACCAACTAAGTTTGTTGTGGGTATAAGCTTTCGTGTGCATGTACACGTCTTCAGATACTCAGATGCATACGAAAGCTTATACCCAGAACAAACTTAGTTGGTCTCCAAGGTGCTACTGGACAATTTTTGTGTGTACATGAGACAGAGGGATGCCTCCTTGTAGATCAGGGATGGGGGAACCTGTGACCCTCCAGATGTTGCTGGACTCTAACTCCCATGAGTCAGCAGGGCCAAAGTTCAGGGATGATGGGAGTTGGAGTCCAGCAAGATCTCACGGGCCACAGCTCCCTCCTGTCTGATTGTCGAACCAGCATTCCCTGATATTGATCTCAGGCAGGTGTCTTTGCTGCGCACTTTTTGGTACCTCCTTGAAACATTTTTTCTCTATCCAAATGTCATTGTGTGTTTTAGTTCCTTTTGGCTGCTGTGGATTGTAATAGTCTTTTGAAGTTTTTTAGATACCTGTTTTTAACTGTTTTTTTTATCATCGGCAGTTTTCATGTTTCAATTTACAGTGGTACCTCGGGTTACATACGCTTCAGGTTACAGACTCCGCTGACCCAGAAATAGTACCTCAAGTACTATTAGTATCGGGTACTCGAGAACTTTGCTTTAGGATGAGAACAGAAATTGTGCGGCAGCAGCGGGAGGCCCCACTAGCTAAAGTGGTGCTTCAGGTTAAGAACAGTTTCAGGTTAGGAACGGACCTCCGGAATGAATTAAGTACTTAACCCAAGGTACCACTGTATGTTTTTGTAAACCACTTAGAGGTTTTCCTACAATCAAGCAGTATGTAAATTTCATTAAATAAATAAAGGGAGACCTCCATACCTCTGCTGGCACCGTTATCACACAGTCCTGGCTTGACACACTGTGCGGAAGTTTCTGCAGTGCATTAGTTGATGCCAAAGTGTATTGAAGTGCGTGCCATAGCGATCTCTGCAGCTTCCAGGGGGTGGAGCTGCTCCCTTCGCTCTGAGGAACCCCCAGCCAAAAGCAAGGGTGGGCGACTGCTCTCAATTTCAGCTGCGAAACTGACAAGCCGGGTGGGTGCACTCTGCGGCCCGATCCACGCGCCGACCTGAGCAGAATTCACAAGCGCAAACGCTGCTTATCCAGCCGTCTCAGGACAGAGGATGGAGGTGAGGTCAGCTGAGGTGGAAATAGCTTGCGGTGAGCTGGAGGGGGAGATTCCTTAAGAGTCCCTTGCATGATAAGTCTTGCAGATCAGGGAAATCTCTTGTTGACTGAATTCCTCCGCCATCTGCTAGTAGCGAGAGCATCTTACAGCCCCAGCAGGTTCTGAGATGAGAAGAGGAATCTGCATAGTGTTGCCTTGTCTGCCTATCTCCTCCTCCAGTGGGGTCATAGTTACTCATTCTCTCAGATAATAATAATAATAATAATAACAATAATAATTTTTATACCCCGCCCATCTGGCTGGGTTTCCCCAGCCACTCTGGGCGGCTTCCAACAAAACACTAAAATACAATAACCTATTAAACATTAAAAGCTTCCCTGAACAGGGCTGCCTTCAGATGTCTTCTAAAAGTCTGGTACTTGTTGTTCTCTTTGTCATCTTGTGGGAGGGCGTTCCACAGGGCAGGTGCCACTACCGAGAAGGCCCTCTGCCTGGTTCCCTGTAGCTTGGCTTCTTGCAGCGAGGGAACTGCCAGAAGGCCCTCGGTGCTGGACCTCAGTGTCTGGGGAGAAAGATGGGGGTGGAGATGCTCCTTCAGGTATACTGGACCGAGGCCGTTTAGGGCTTTCAAGGTCAGCACCAACACTTTGAACTGTGCTCGGAAACGTACTGGGAGCCAATGTAGGTCTCTCAGAGGCCCCAAGCCTTGCCTGGGGAAGCACACGGCCGTCCTTCGTTCAAGCGCAACACCAGGTAATGCAAAGGCGGAGGAAATCTCAGATTTTACACAGTCCAAGCCAGAAGCAGATTAATGGGTGTTTTCGGATGGACAAAGGAAGTTGCCTCATGCCGAATGAGACCATTCAGAAGCCCTTAAAAGTAAGAACATACGAAGAGGCTGTTGCATCAGCTCAATGGCCAACTGGTCCAATATCCTGTTCTCACAGGGGCCGACCAGAGTTCCACAGATTAACAATGCACCCCACGAACAAGTCCTTTCTTTTATCTGTCCTGCGTCTCCCGACTGTCGGCTTCACTGGATCCCCCACAAGTTTTGTGTTACGAGAGAAGCCAACCACATTTGTTTTATTCGGCCTGCTCCCTCACTTTTTGGAGGCTGGAGTCCTGCAGACCATTTCGCTCCTGCCACAAGGCTTCTCCCAGTATCTAAACCCCGACCCTGAACCTCATTGGAATTCTGAACATTTTAAAAAAAATTATGGGGTCACTTCATTTGTGAGTTTGGAGCTGCCCCAACAAAAAGTGGGCGAAGCCATGCCCAATCCTCATTTTGGTCCGCCATCTTGAATCAAAATGGCCCCCAAGCATTGGCAGAGACCACCCCCCTCATCTTGAGAGTTTGGTGGCGATATCTCCAGAGGAGGCCATAGCAGATGGCGTCGTTTTGATGTCTGCCGCCCTTGGCCTCCCGTTTGAAAAGGACGGGCAAGCTATCAACCTCATAAATAGCTCAACAATTGAGATATTTGTAGAATAAATTTGGAAGAAATTCTTCCAACTTTCCTTCTTCTTTTTTCTTCTCTATTTTTTCTTCTTTTTCTCTTGTTCTTTTTTTAATATATGTGTGTGCTTATCTGAAATATATATGTATTTGCAATATTTTGCTTATATTTTGTAATAATTATGTTAAATTAATTAAATGCATAAATAGAGCAACAATATTTTTTTAAAAAACAACCCTCGACCGTGGGGGTGAGGCACTGAGGCGGCGGCTGTGCTGAGATTGGGTTTGTGCCAGGCAAGAGCAGGAAAGGGCCCTCTCAAAAGCCAGGCACACCTCTCCCCCTGGGCTTTTCTTGGGGTGCTCTGCCTGTTCCCCTGCCTCCTTGCAGAGCAGTGTGTGTGTTTGTGTGAAGCCCTTCCTGGCAGCAGGGTGGAGACCTAGCCGGTAGGGAAGGCCGGGCGGCAAAGCCTTTGATCCTCCCTCTCTGCCCTTTCCCCTACTCTCTGGGCGGCCATGTCTCTTCTTGTGCAAGCGGGGTGGTGCCTGCGCCAGGGCAAAGCTGCTCCTCGTCACCCAAGGAGTCAAACCGGACCAGCAAGGAAGGAGGGAGGTGCTCTTCTTCTTCTTCTTCTTCCTTTCCTTTGCAGGAGCTGGGATAGCTCAGTCGGCAGAGCACAAGGCACTTCATCTCAAGGTCCTGGGTTCGAGTCCCGTGCTGGGTGAAAAATATTCCTGCGCTGCGAGGGGTTGGACTTGATGACCCTCGTGGTCCCTTCCAGCTCTGTGATTCTGTGAAGTGTGCCGTGTCTGCCCCTGCCAGCCAAGGAGTGGTCCAGCGCCCTTGGCCCTCCCCCTTTGACACATTATGCATCAGGGCAAATTTCCTCAAGTTCCATTTCCTCTAGTTTGTTCATTTTCCACATCTGTGTTTTAAGAACTTAAGGGTAGCGGGGAAAGTCCCAGAACGAAACAGACAACTTAGAGGGGCTAAATCCATAACCTTCTCAGTTACTGAATTTGTTTTGCAGTTCTTTCCCTTCAGATCTCCACCGTCTGTTGGATACCTAAACACTTTTGGCCTTTAGCTTTAAAACTTATCAATCACCACTTACGATCTTCTAGATTTCTCTCTTTACGTATTTTAAAGCCCTTTGCAGCCTAGGACCCTCGTACCTACGGGACCGCCTCTCCCAGTATGCCCATAAACAGCAACACCCTAGAGGTCCCGGGCCCTAAGGAAGTCAGATTAGCCTCAACCAGAGCCAGGGACTTCTCAACTCTGGCCCCGGCCTGGTGGAACGCTCTGTCTCATGAGACCAGGGCCCTGCAGGATCTGATTTCTTTCCGCAGGGCCTGTAAGACAGAGTTGTTCCGCCTGGCCTTTGGCTTGGAATCAACTTGATCCCCTTCCCCTCTTTCCTTTTTCCTTCCTCCTTCTGTGATGGAACTCCTATTTGGGGACTTCCCTGGCTTTTTTCTGGCCCACCTAGGACCAGTCTGGATAGTTGGCCTTGGTGAAGATTTGACATTTTCTCCCCTCCCAAACAGTTTTTGACCTGGGCTTCCACTGAACTGAGGCTGCATTTTAAGTAGTATTTTAATCTCGTTTTTAAGCTGTATTTTAATCAATTGTTTTTATCCCTGATGTTAGCCGCCCTGAGCCAAGTCTTGGCCTGGGAGGGCGGGGTATAAATAAAGTTAAATAAATAAATATTTTGCATCCTCAGGTTGCTTCAATTCCTTCCTTTTTCCTATGCGTCTACAAGTTCTCCAGGACCTGAGTTCACAGTCAAGATGCGTTATGTATGTTCTGTTTGTTACACGCGTGAGAAAACGTCAGTAAAAGACATTACTTTCTGTGGACCTGCTCTGGTTGGAACTTAGAATGTAAGCAGAGGCTGGTAGGATCTGTTCCAGGATCCCGTTCTCGCATTGGCCAACCTATTGCCCCACAGAAAAGCCCACAAGGAGGGCCTGAGTTCAAGAACAACTCTCCTCACTTGCAATTCCCAGCAGCTGGTATTCGGAGGAAGGCTGCCCTCCGGCCGTGGAGGGGCAACCTGGCCATTGTGGCTACTAGCCACCTCTCATAGAGTTCACGAATTCGTCTAAACCTCTTTTAAAGCCATCCATGTTGCTGGTCGTCATTATATCCTGTGGCAGTGAGTTCCATAGTTTAACGGCGTGCTGTGGGAAGAAGCTCTTTCTTTTATCCTATTGTATGTGCTGCTTTGCAGGGCTTTCACCTCCAACACGGGTTATAAACCTTTAAATAAACTGAATGGGAATCAGGGTCCAAAGACCTTGAAACAGCATCTCCTGACACCCTGAAATCGGATCCTTCAGGGCGTATAGTGTCCAAACACTCCCTGCCCAAATCACAGCTGTCTTTATTTTATTATCTGTCTGCCTCAGTGGGAGAAAAAGGAAAGGAAATGTGTATTGGCAATAAGTAATATGAATTTGAAGTATGGAATAGACGGGAGGTTGGGTCTTTAGTGTTAAGACCAATAGATGTTTTATTGTTTGCTAAGAATATTATGTGTCTATGGTTATTTTTGTAATTTGTGTATAATTTGGTATTTGTGTTTTTGTTTGTTTGTTTTTCTTGTTGTATAAATAAAAAACTTTAAAAAAAATAAAAAAAGAAAAGAAAAAGGAAACTGGACCCAATCCACCACAAAGACCTTCTCTATCAGAGTGGCTCTCCAGTCCTTGAACTGTTTCCAAAACAGCCGGTGGAGTAGTATAAGAACTAATTTTTCACCTGACAAATCGGTGCCTGAGTTTGCTTCTTCTTTTTTCCTCCTCTGCCCTCCCCATCGCCCTTTCCTCTTCTGCCATGTCTTTTACATTGCAAGCTTGTATATAAGGAATGTCTTGTATCGGTTGATTGTATGTAAGCTGCTCTGGGAGCCGATTTTGACTGGAGGGTGGGTTTAAAACGCTCTAATTTTAAATATATAAATATATTTTAAAGTATTGGACTGTATAATTCCTTCCTTCCTTACTCTCCTTTCCCTTCCCTCCCCGCACAGGTAGTGACCTTTGACGCGAGAGGAGTGAGCGGTCACCTGAACCACAAATCCCTTTACACCGCTGTCAGGTACAGTCTTCCTATCATTCGGCAAGCAAGGGTGGTGCATTGGGCACACTTAAGACCCTCCCTGCATCCCATCTACCCAAGACCTTGGACAGTCTCAGCTGCTGGCAATACAGTAATCCAATTCATTCCATGAGCCGTGTCCCTCCTGATCTGACACCCCATAGCAAGCCACGGTAGACAATAGTAGGCTAGATGGAACAGGGATCAGTTTCCTATTTATATTACCTCTCCACTAATTACCACCTGGACTAGAAAACTGCTTTCTAGGGGGAAAGCCACAGATCAGTGGCAGAACATCTGCTTTGCATAGATACATAGATAGATAGATAGATAGATAGATAGATAAATAGATAGATGATAGATAGATACAGAGAGAAAGAGTGAGAGAGAGAGATGTCCACCCCCATCGTTCTCCCCAGACACTGAGGTCCAGCTTTGAGGGCCTTCTGGCAGTTCCCTCCCTGCGAGAAGCCAAGTTACAGGGAACCAGGCAGAGGGCCTTCTCGGTGGTGGCACCTTCCCTGTGGAACGCCCTCCCACCAGATGTCAAAGAGAACAACAACTACCAGACTTTTAGAAGATATCTGAAGGCAGCCCTGTTTAGGGAAGCTTTTAATGTTTAATAGACTATTGTATTTTAATACAGTGGTACCTCGGGTTACTGAGGGACGCGGGTGGCGCTGTGGGTAAAACCTCAGCGCCTAGGGCTTGCCGATCGAAAGGTCGGCGGTTCGAATCCCCTCGGCAGGGTGCGCTCCCGCTGCTCAGTCCCAGCGCCTGCCAACCTAGCAGTTCGAAAGCACCCCCGGGTGCAAGTAGATAAATAGGGACCACTTACTGGCGGGAAGGTAAACGGCGTTTCCGTGTGCTGCGCTGGCTCGCCAGATGCAGCTTGTCACGCTGGCCACGTGACCCGGAAGTGTCTCCGGACAGCGCTGGCCCCCGGCCTCTTGAGTGAGATGGGCGCACAACCCCAGAGTCTGTCAAGACTGGCCCGTACCGGCAGGGGTACCTTTACCTTACCTCGGGTTAAGTTCTTAATTCGTTCCGGAGGTCCGTTCTTAACCTGAAACTGTTCTTAACCTGAAGCACCACTTTAGCTAATGGGGTCTTCTGCTGCTGCCGTGCCGCCGGAGCACAATTTCTGTTCTCATCCTGAAGCAAAGTTCTTAACCTGAAGCACTGTTTCTGGGTTAGCGGAGTCTGTAACCTGAAGCGTATGTAACCTGAAGCGTATGTAAACTGAGGTACCACTGTATTCTGTTGGAAGCCCCCCAGAGTGGCTGGGGAAACCCAGCCAGATGGGCCAGGTATAAATTATTATTATTATTATTATTATTATTATTATTATTATTATTATTATTATCTTCTCTGCCTAACCATGGGGGATTGGGAAAGGAGCAGGAGAGACAGTGCTATTTTTCTAGAAAAAGAGGTGCCGGAACTCACCCTGAACACTTCCCTTGTCCTATTATAATGGCAATGGCGCCCACCTGAGAGGTGCAGGAACTGAGCTCTGGTGAGTTCTGGCTGGGAAGAAAGCCCCAGGGAGAGGAAATGTATATATGTGTGTATAGACCAGGGGTCTGCAACCCGCGGCTCCGGAGCCGCATGTGGCTCTTTTACACCTTTGCCGCGGCTCCGGGGCTGATACTAGCGAGGGGAGGAGTTGCATTGTGCGCCCCGACACTCCCCACTGTGGTGGGTGCTGTACTGGCTGTGACGTCGCATGGGGGCGGTGCGTGCGTTAGTCACGCACCGTCCCAACGTCACCTTCCCACCCGCTGTCAGATCGGAGGGCAGCGGCGCGCATGCTTTAAATGTCGCAATGGTTTTGCGGCTCCCAGGTTTTTTCTTCTTCGGAAACAGGTCCAAGTGGCTCTTTTTGTCTTAAAGGTTGCAGACCCTTGGTATAGAGAAAGAGAAAGAGGGTGTGTGTGTGTGTGTGTGTGTGTGTGTGTGTGAGAGAGAGAGAGAGAGAGAGAGAGAGAGAGAGACCCTTCCACTCGCCAACCCTATCAACCTTTTCCCCCATCCCTGACCAATCTCCCCCCTTTTAAAGTTCGCTCACCCCCTCACCTATCAACCCACAGCTCACCCCCAAAGCCCTGCCCGCATTTAAAGCAGCGGGGAGGGTGTGTCATGCCATGGGAAGGGGCTCCAGCTTTCCTGGGCCAGCTTGCCATTGTTCCGCATGCCGCGATACGTGACGACGCCATACATTCTTATTTCTATAGGAAGATATACAGAGAGAAAGAGAGGGGAGGGGAGGGGAGAGTGTCTGTCTGTCTGTGAAAGTTCCCTGCGTATAGCATTCCCTGGATCAGGAAAGGCTGCCCCAGCTTCACTTTCCACACACACGCCAGCCGCAGCCGAGTCCAAACTCTAAAAACAAACATTCCCAAAATGGCAACGCTGCAGAGCTAAGCTGCCTGCAACCTCTCCCCTCTTTGGCCCGGCTCCAGCCCTCGCCACTCTTGTCTTTCAGGGACTACGAGGACGAGGGGTAGGGGGGAGTGGAAAAGGACTGAAACTCTTTCCCCCTACCCCCCCTCGTCTATGTCTGCAAAAGCTGCCCAGCTCAGTCCATTCCCATCTATAGTCTTAAAAGGATGATCGCAGTGGGGAAGGGTCTCTGCATTCCCCCCGCCCCACTCACTCGCTGGCTAGAAAGCAGCTGTGATCCCGCCCTGCGGCTCCTCTGCCAGGCAGCCTCTCTGAATTAGCTGCCACAAGAACCTCTGGTGCTGCCTTACAGGCCAGGTTGCCAGGTCTAGCCCAGTGTAGTCGACACTGACCGGCAGCGGCTCTCCAGGGTTTCATGCAGCGGACGTCCCCAACCCCACAGTATTGGGGAGGGGAGGTTTTGAACCTGGGACCTTCTGAATGCAAAGCAGTCTCTGTACGAATGTGCCCCAACCCTGAGAAATAAAACAAGATTCCAGACCTCATGGTTCTCAGTTTGTAGGGACTTCAGGAGCTGCCTTATGCAGAGCCATAGAAGTGTACCTAGCGTTGGCAACCCCCGCTGCAAAAAAAATCCCTTTCCCGTAAGAGCCACATTAGAAATTACAACTTTTAATGCAACCCAAGTGCTGTTTATTTCATTTATAAGAGATTTCACACCCACCCTCCAGCCTAAGGTCCCAGGGTGGGTTGTAGTAGTAGTAGTAATAATAATAATAATAATAATAATAATAATACAGTGGTACCTCGGGTTAAGAACTTAATTCGTTCCGGAGGTCCGTTCTTAACCTGAAAGTGTTCTTAACCTGAAGCACCACTTTAGCTAATGGGGCCTCCTGCTGCCGCTGCGCCGCCGGAGCACGATTTCTGTTCTCATCCTGAAGCAAAGTTCTTAACCTGAGGTACTATTTCTGGGTTAGCGGAGTCTGTAACCTGAAGCGTATGTAACCCGAGGTACCACTGTAATAATAATAATAAAATTTTATTTATACCCCGCCCTCCCCAGCCAAGACTGGGATCAGGGCGGCTAACACCCGAATTAAAACAATTGATTGAAATACAACTTAAAAACAAGATTAAAATACAACATTAAAACGCAGCCTCATTTCAGTGGAAACTCAAATCAAAAACTTTTTGGGGGATGAAAACGTCAAGTCTTCACCAAAGCTAACTATCCGATTAAGCAAAAGAAAAAGACAAGAAGCCCCTACCCCCCCCCCGCCGGCTTCCCTCCTCACCCGGTGACACACCATTTTGAACCACTGCAATAAGGATTTCTTTCCGTTATTGCACAGAGTTCGGTAACTCTCTGGGTCTCTCTCTGCCTAATCGCACCCCACCCTTTTTGGCTGCAAGGGACAATGGTGTAACTTGCAAAAGGCAAGCTGGAAAGAGCAGCTGTGAGGTCGCTGCTGCCCCCTACTGGCCTTCCCTGGAGCAGAACAACACGGGAAGAGCATCCTGTTCTCATAGTGGCCAGCCAGAAGCCACTATAGGAAACCTGCAAGCGGGACCATCTCTCCCCTCCTGCGGTTTCCAGCACAGAAGCATCGCTGCCTCTAACTGTGGAGGGCAGAGCGCAGCCATCTCCTCCTGCGTGAATTTGCCTCATCCTCTATTAAAGCCATCCAGATTGACGGCCATCTCTGCTTCAAGTGGGAGGGAGTTCCGCAGTGTAACTAAGCATGAATAAGGGCTTTCTTTTATCTTCCAAATTCATCGCATTGAATGCTGTGTGTTTGTGTCTGTGTGTTTGTGTCACAGAGCTGGAGAGCTGAAGGGCTGCTTTCTCTGCCATTTGTATCCCTCCCTTCTTCGATGGAGTTTGAGGCATAATAATAATAATAATAATAATAATAATAATAATAATTTATACCCTGGCCACTCTGGGCGGCTTCCAACAAAATATTAAAATACCGTAATACATCAAACATTAAAAGCTTCCCTAAACATTTAGGCATGCGTGTTTTCCTCGTGTTTCGTCCTCACAACAGCCCTGTGAGGTAGGCTTGCCCGTTGCCTGGCCCAGCAGTCTTTACTGCTGAGGGAGGGTTCAAAAGGAGAGGGATCACTGGCCCTGCTTTGCACGCAAGATCATTTTCCCTGGCTCGTTTTCCTTGAACTTTGATCGCGGCTCCTGTTTGTCTGGACGGCGCTCAGAGAATGATGTGCGTAGAAACTAACCTACTGTACAAATTTACATGAGTTGCCCCGCCCACTTTTGCCTCTGGCCCTGCCCACCAGCATCATGTGGCCCTCGGAAGGTTTCCCAGAAGAAAAGTCGGCCCTCGGGCTGGAAAAAGCCTCCCTAACCCACCACAGATTTTTTTTAAAAAAACCAGTTTGATTAATGCAGGTCAATCGGATTAACCATTTGTTGGCAAACAGGTGTGACTGACAGATTTTTACAGTTTTAGTCCTTCATGAGGGCTGCATTGCTTGAGGAGTGAGACTTTGCAGTTCCGCTGAAGGTAGCTGGATTCAACCCCACGCGGTGTTTACTCACCCCTGTTCTGTTTGTATTTTGCAGGCACCTGCATTCCGAGAAGAAGTTTCCAGAAGGTGTTTATCATTGCTTATTTATTTATTATTGGGTGACCATTTTTTAAAAAGCCATCCAGTACGACTGCAAGGACGCGGATCTTGCCAATCAGAAGGTCGGCGGTTTGAATCCCCATGACGGGGTGAGCTCCCGTTGCTCGGTCCCTGCTCCTGCCAACCTAGCAGTTCGAAAGCTCGTCAAAGTGCAAGTAGATAAATAGGAACCGCTCCGGCGGGAAGGTAAACAGCGTTTCCGTGCGCTGCTCTGGTTCGCCAGAAGCGGCTTAGTCATGCTGCCACATGACCCGGAAGCTGTACGCCGGCTCCCTCGGCCAATAAAGCGAGATGAGTGCCACAACCCCAGAGTTGTCCACAACTGGACCTAACGGTCAGGGGTCCCTTTACCTTTTTTAGTACGACTGCAGATTGCACATAGTCGTCTGGTGCAAAGAGAAGGGCACATACAGCGCACCTGACACATAACTGTGCAACTCACAGCTGCAGGATTTAAAAGTGTTGGATGGCTTAGGCAATATTTTTGAGTGGTTGATTGATTGCATTTATACCCCATATATTTTTTTGCACACAGTTCTCCCCGTTCTTCATTTAATCCCCCAAACAACCCTGAGGAAGGCATTGACTGTCCCCCAAGGTCTGTCCCCCCAGGCCAAGGTCGCCCGCTGAGCTTCATGGCCGAGTAGGAGAAGAATCTGTACAATTATAGATTATTAATGAAATAGTGTAATTGAAAAAAATTGCTGCCCTTTAGTGACATTCCAAGTTGCACGTTCCAAAGGGGCCTGCCCCACTTCGCCCAACAGCAGAGCCGGCTAGGGATGGGTGAGATTCGGCCACCTGGCTGCGAAAGTGCGGCCTGGGGTCAGGTGGGTACCCTGACCGCCACCGGCATCCCCTCCCAAACCATGGGCTCCCCTCAGCGCAGCTCCACCACCGAGGCAGCCTGCTGCCGCCCACGACTCCTCCGATTGACGTCACCCTCTTCCCTGACCCACAATCGCCCAAGGCCCAGGGAACGCCCGCCTGGCCGCTTTAGGCTAAGCTGATTCCAAATATAGCTGCCGTTCCCGGCATTTCTTAATTTGATCTGGCAGCCATGAGAGGCTGTCACATTAGGAGGGCTTAAGTGGGGGCCTTGGACGGGGGCAGCAGTGACGTCGGGGCCTGGAGGGCAGCCGACCCAAAGCGCGTCTGTCCGCGGGAACCACCTGCTCCTGTGCCTTCCTGCAAATCCCAAAATCCACCTGAGCTGTCGAGAGCTGCAGAAAGGAGCGCTTGCTATTTTCCAAAACACCTCTTGCTTTTTGGTTCCCGGCTCGCTCCACAAACAGAAGGGGCACACACAAAAATATTCCCCCTCTCTCATCAATTCCTCCCCCCTGCAATTCCAGCTTCTGTCACTCACCCCCCCCCCAAATCTAACTTGCAAGGCGGCAAAGTGGGCGCTTGATCCCAAGTATTAACGCAGCGCCTGCTGTCCCAGGGATACGTCTGGCGCAGGAAGTCCCTGCCCTGTCCCCAACCCCATATTTGAGATCTTAGAGCAGGGGTGACAAGCCTCTTTCAAACCAAGGGCCACATTCCCTCCCAGCAAACCTTCTGAGGGCCACATGACGGTGGTGGGTGATGCCAGATGTAAACATGGGAGGAGCAAGGAATGTCAATCTGACCTTTAACAGGAGGCACATTTAGCCTCCCAAGTCAGGCGAAAACAATGAAGGAGGTTGCGAAGCAGGGCATGGCCAAAGGAGAGCCCCAAGGGCCACATAGAGAGGGCTGCAGGGCTACATTTGGATCCTGGGGCCTAGGGGTCCCCATCCCTGTGTCTAATGGGCTAAGGTAAAGGTAAAGGGACCCCTGACCATTAGGTCCAGTCGTGGCCGACTCTGGGGTTGCGGCGCTCATCTCGCTTTATTGGCCGAGGGAGCCGGCGTACAGCTTCCGGGTCGTGTGGCCAGCATGACTAAGCCGCTTCTGGCGAACCAGAGCAGCGCACGGAAATGCCGTTTACCTTCCCGCCGGAGCGGTTCCTATTTAACTACTTGCACTTTGACATGCTTTCGGACTGCTAGGTTGGCAGGAGCAGGGACCAAGGAACGGGAGCTCACCCCGTTGCGGGGATTCGAACCGCCGACCTTCTGATCAGCAAGTCCTAGGCTCTGTGGTTTAACCCACAGGGCCACCCGCGTCCCTAACGGGCTAAGGCAGCACCCCCAAAAAGTTACGAGAGTAATTAAGAAACAGTCACTTTGAAACAGTGCCACAAGTCATGTGTTAAGAAGCAGCTTGACACAGATTCCAGGGCCTTCTTAGAAGCCAGTCAAGGAGGAGCCCTTTGTGGGGCCACCACCACATGCACGAAAAAGACCCCGTCCCTCGTGCCCCAAAATGCAGTATGCCCAGATGTCTGGACCATGGCTTGGGCTTCTGAGGCTGGTCTTGAGACCAGGGGAGGTTCACCTGGGATGCCACGCAGCTCTTATCAGAGTAGACCTCTTAGAATGAATGGACCAAAGTTAGTCGTACCCATTGGTTTCAATGTGTCTGCTCTGAGTGGGATTAGCATTGGGTGCAACCCTGGGGTGTTTCAGATAGCCTGGCCCCAGAGCTATTAAGTCCTGAATGTTGTTTACACCGGGCCAAGTTCAAGGTGCTACTCTTAGTATATAAAGCCCTTAACAGCTTGGGACCAGTTTAGCTGCAAGATCGCCTTACCCAATCTAGTCCGACTCGATACTTTGATCTGCAGAATGGGTGCAGTTACAAGTGCCATAAAATGCCCATTCCACATTTGTAAGAAATGGGCCTTTTAGTGTGACAGCGCCTGCACTTTGGAACTCCCTGCCTTTTGATATCAACCGGGCGCCTTCGCTGTACCCTTTTCGGCGCCTGCCAAAAACGTCATTGTTTAGGCATTGTTTTAATGCGGCTTTTAGCTTAAGACAGTAAGAGCTGTTTGACAGTGGAATTTGCTGCCAAGGAGTGTGGTGGAGTCTCCTTCTTTGGAGGTCTTTAAGCAGAGGCTTGACAACCATATGTCAGGAGTGCTCTGATGGTGTTTCCTGCTTGGCAGGGGGTTGGACTCGATGGCCCTTGTGGTCTCTTCCAACTCCATGATTCTATGATTATCGCCGAGTTTAATTATTTTCCTGAAGATATCAAACAGTTGGGGAAGGGGGTTCACAAATTCTTTTTGTAAACCGCTTCGAGGTATTCTTTACAGCCTTGGTTGGGGAGGGAGGGGTATAAATAAAATTTATTATTATTTTTATTATTACAGCCAAGTAGTCTATAAGCTGGGACGCGGCTTAGTCATGCTGGTCACATGACCCAGAAGCTGTACGCTGGCTCCCTCGGCCAATAAAGCGAGATGAGCGCCCCAACCCCCGAGTCGGCCATGACTTGACCTAATGGTCAGGGGTCCCTTCACCTTTACCTTAGTCTATAAGACAGATAAAACAATGTTGCATTTGCAGAGAACGTCGCAGCAGCAAAGGGAAAATCTTACAGCACCCCAGTATGGGTGGCCTGGCAGCCAGAGACAGGGGTAGTCTGGGGGAAATGAGGGTGAGGAGAGCAGGTGGGGTGTCCCTTTTCATCCTAGCAAAAGCAGCCCCATGCCTGGAGCTTGCAAATCACCTCCCAGAGTCAGATTTGGCCAGTTCAGCATCAGATGGCGCCATCTGTTGGGAATGTCCATTTATGACATGTCATGGGACGCATCATCCCAAGGGAGCAGCGATGCTGGCAGCCTAGAGCAGCCACTGCTGACCTGGCACCCTCCAGCTGCCTTGGACTACAGCTCCCACCAGCCCCAGCCGTCCTGGGAGTTGTAGTCCAAAGCGCCTGGAGCTTGGCGAAGGCTTGACTTGGAGAGCATCTTCAGGGAGGGCTGTAAATGCCCCCCTAGAGCAGGGGTCAGCAAACTTTTTCAGCAGAGGGCCGGTCCACTGTCCCTCAGATCTTGTGGGGGGGCTGGACTATAATTTTTGGGGGGAAATGGACAAATTCCAATGCCCCACAAATAACCCAGAGATGCATTTTAAATAAAAGCACACATGTTAAATACTCATGTTAAAAACACGCTGCTTCCCAGACCGTCCACTGGCCGGATTTAGAAGGCGATTGGGCTGGATCCGGCCCCCGGGCCTTAGTTTGCCTACCCATGATCTGGACACTAGACTTCTGTTGATGCAGCCCAGAATAGCATTGGCCTTTTTTGCTTCTGCAGCACTGACTCAAGTTCAGCTTGATAGGTTTTATTGGTTATCGTAGCTTTGCATATTTTTGCGGTGGTGTTTGGTCTTGCACCTGACACAGAGTGTGAATCCTAGGAAGGAAGAAACTGAACTCAGTCGGGCTTACTTCCAAGTAGACCATTGTGCCAGAGAAACCTATTGGAATAATACTATTCACTGTCACACTTGCAACTATCCCATCTAAGGCTAAAATCTCCTGCCCACTTATTCTGGTCGGAAGCCCCACCTGAACACCATCGAACTTACTGCCAACTAAACACAGAAAGCTAGCTGGATCTCACCGGCTCTTTATTCTCTGTTTCCCCCACCCAGGTTGCCAAGTCCTCACCCTGGAGACGGTGAACCTTTTCCGCAAGTATATCTCCATCCTCGATGCCCCCATCAGTTACCTCCGGAGCCCAGATGTCCTGGTTGTATTGGCAAGAAAGGATGCAGACTTAGCCAAGGTGAGAGCCATAGGATATCCAGAGTTCCTAGTGCAGCCCATTCCAATAATAATAATAATAATAATAATAATAATAATAATAATAATAATCTTCCCACCCACCCAGCAGCCTTGAAAATGAACTTGAGGTTCTCGAGAGTTGCTGTTTTTCAAGACAACCAGCCATCTGCACAGCCCCTTCTGCAAACACTGGTTCTACCATGTTCAAAACGAAGGACAGGGAACCTCAGGGGCCAAATGTGGCCCTCTACAGCTGTCAAATCTGGACCTAGGGTGCTCCCCAGGGCACCCCATGCACCAGCCTTGCTTTGCCCCCTTCTGAGTGCCCATACCCTCATTTAGGTGATGTGGGGCTGTTTTCTGACAGAGCAGGTGATGGGTAGCCTCAGGCCCATGGATGTGGCCCTCCAGGCCTCTCTATCCGGCCCTTGGCATTCTCCCCAGGTCATGACTCTCATCACCCTTGTTTTGTGATCTCCTCTAGTGCTTTGGCCTGCCTGGGATGTGTCTTGAGCTGTGATAGCGGCTGGATTCAGATAATTACGTGCATCTATGCGTGTGTGCATGAGACAGACACACACAGAGAGAGAAACCTCTGGTTTTGAGCAGCCTGCGCTCCTTCGCTAGGAGAGGAGGGATATAAATGCAATAAATCGTAATAAAGACTAGAATGTAGCCCACTGCACAAGAGGCCAAACTCACACCCAGGGCCCCGCCCATTTTTTGCTTCTGGCCCCCACAACACCCGCATGTGGCCCCTGTAAGATTATCTGTGAGAAATGGGTTGCAAAAAGCTTACTCGATTTAGATGAAGGTTGTATTAGAATCCCAACCCCAAGAGTACAGTCGTACCTTGGTTCTCGAATGGAATCCAGAATTCTGTTCGACTTCTGAAAACGTTTGAAAACTAAGGCGCGACTTCTGATTGGCTGCAGGAGCTTCCTGTAGCCAATCGGAAGCTGTGGAAGTCCCGTTGCACATTCGGGTTCCAAAAAGCGTTCAAAAACCGGAACATTCACTTCCGGGTTTGTGGCGTTTGGAAGCCAAAATGTTCGAGAACTAAGCTGTTCGAAAACCAAGTGTGTGAAACAGAAGAGGTCCGATGATTTGCCTGTTGAGGCCTGTATTGTCTCCTCCGACTGGCAGCAACTCTCCAGGGCAGATCTTTCTTCTCCTCTCCTACCAGAAACCCCTTTTAACTAAAGGAAATTGACTGTGTCAAATGCTTGGGAGAAGAGGGAGGTTTTAAGCGGGTGCCGGAAGTATCTTAATGTTGGTGCTGGGCAGACCTCACCAGGACAGGGGCAGCAACCAAACAGGCGAGGGAAGAGAAAGTTCTGCTTCACGCAAGGCGTCCCGCCGATTCCTCTGTTGGCCTCACCCCAAGTCCCAATTGAAAAGAGGGTGTTGTTCTCTTGTCCTTCCAGAGAGCCATGCAGTGCCACCGCAGCCAGCTCCTCTGGTTCCGACGCCTCTACCTGTTCTTCTCGCGCTACGTGGTGATCAACTCACTTCGCAGCCTCTGACAGGGAAGGGCCGTTGCTTGGGAGGCTGGCAGGAGCAAGAGAGGCTGGAGGAGGGAGGTCCTCCTTAAAACTCTCACTGAGTGCACAAGGTCTTTCCATCCCACTGACGCAGTCTGGTTGAGATGACAGATGTCCGAGAAACTAAGCGCTGATCTGTGCCTGTTTCTGTGAAGGCGAGCAAGACGGAACTTTACAAGGCGACATAGATTATACGAGAGATGGGCGCCAAAGGAGAGGATTTATCCTGGAAGGACTTCACTTTGCAAATGTTTAAAGTGTGCCATCTTTTTTCAAAAGTCTCTTTTTATCATTCCACTTACGCACCACTTCCTGTAAAAGCACCTCAAAGTGATTTAACAATAAATGGACACAGTTGCTGAAAAGTGCGGCCTCCCCCAGGCAAGTAAGTAAAGTCCCAAGCGGCGTGCGTGGAAGACTCAGCCCAAACCTCTCTTTGCCTTGATCTTTGGTGGATGGGCCTTGGGTCAGTCACCCATCCTCAGCCGGACGTACCTTACAGGCTCACCTGGGGATGAAGTGGAAGCACCTTTTTGAGCAAGGATGGGATATGTAGTGCTTTCTAGATGTCTTTGGACTCCCAGCTCCCATCATCCCCAACACCTGAGGCCAAGCAACAGCCCTGTGGAGGTCTGAAGGTTCCCCAAAATGTGTTTTTAGAGCCGGGTGTGGTATAATGCGGTCTAGGACCCTCGTACCTACGGGACCACCTCTCCTGCTTTGCCCCGCGGAGGACCTTAAGGTCCACAAATGACAACACCTTGGCGGTCCCAGGTCGCAAGATGTTTAGATTGGTCTCAACTAGGGCCAGGGCCTTTTCAGCACTGGCCCCGACTTGGTGGAACGCTCTGTCACAAGAGACTAGGGCCCTGCAGAACTTGACATCTTTCCGCAGGGCCTGCAAGACAAAGCTGTTCTGCCTGACCTTTGGTTTAGACTAGGTCTGACCCTTATGTTGCCCTCCCCTTATGGTCTTGATCTATGGGCTACTTTTAAAACGAGGCTGCATTTTAAATTGCATTTTAACCTGTATTTTAAACTGGTCCCCCCCATTATGTTTTTACTGTGATTTTATTGGTGTTAGCCACCCTGAGCCCAGCTCTGGCCAGGGAGGGCAGGGTATAAATATTTTTTTTTTATTTTTATTATTATTATGGTCGCTAGAGTGGGAGAGACCCGAGTTCAAATCCTACTCAGCTAGGAGGCTTTCCCTCTCCCTGGGTGGCCTCTGGCCATCTGCTGTGTCTCTCGGCCCAGTCTACCTCGCAAGGTTGTGGCGATCAGAAAATGTGGAGGAGAACCAGGTACGTCACCTGAGGAAGGGTGGGGTAAGAATGCAAACCGACGTTTAGCCAGTCTGTAAATAAATAGATGAAAATGTGATAAAGCAGACATGATTTTAACTCACTAAGATTGCAGGAGCCACACTGAGGACCTGGCCTTCAACCCACCCACCCCCAACAAATGCCACTACATTATTTGAGAGGCTCCCTTATTTATATCGAGAGCCAGTGTGGGGTAGTGGTTAAGAGCGGTGGACTCGTAATCTGGTGAACCGGGTTCGCTTCCCTGCTCCTCCACATGCAGCTGCTGGGTGACCTTGGGCCAGTCACACTTCTCTGAAGTCTCTCAGCCCCACTCACCACACAGAGTGTTTGTTGTGGGGGAGGAAGGGAAAGGAGAATGTTAGCCGCTTTGAGACTCCTTAAAGGGAGTGAAAGGCGAGATATCAAATCCAAACTCCTCCTCCTCTTCTACTTCTTCTTCTTCTCCTCCTCCTCCTCCTCACACGCAGCATGTGACTCAAGTCTCTCACTGATTTCAGCCTCCACCTTTGCCTTATGGAGTCCCAAGGTCCAGTAATAATAATAATAATAATAATAATAATAATAATGATGATGATGATGATGATGATGTTATTATTTATACCCCGCCCATCTGGCTGGGTTTCCCCAGCCACTCTGGGCAGCTTCCAACAAAACACTAAAATACAATAACCTATTAAACATTAAAAGCTTCCCTAAACAGGGCTGCCTTCAGATGTCTTCTAAAAGTCTGGTAGTTGTTCTCTTTGACATCTGGTGGGAGGGCGTTCCACAGGGCGGGCGCCACCACCAAGAAGGCCCTCTGCCTGGTTCCCTGTAACTTGGCTTCTCGCAGCAAGAGAACTGTCAGAAGGCCCTCGGCGCTGGACCTCAGTGTCCGGGCAGAACGAAGGGGGTGGAGGCACTCCTTCAGATATACTGGGCCGTTTAGGGCTTTTAAGGTCAGCACCAACCCTTTGAATTGCGCTCGGAAACATACTGGGAGCCAGAGTAGGTCTTTCAAGACCATCTGGTTCCTGTGTATTTCCACAAGGCACACCAAAGAATGCAGGAAGCTTCCTTGGGTTTAAGTTTGCGTAGCTCAGTATTGTCTACACTGGCCGGCAGCAAACCTGAAGATCCCTTCTGTTCCATTGAGCTTCTGGGTCAGAGAGTATGCAGCAGAGAGTGGTTTGTTTTACAAAAATACAAGTTTTATTTCCCAAAGGTATTTGAAACGGAGATCGATCTCTCAGCAATCCAGGACAGATGGGCTATTGGGGTGTGTGAGAATGACCAGCCTCGGGGGCCTCTGCCCTACAAGAACGGACTGGGTCACTCTTTGGACATACTCCTGATGGTGGGGTGTCCCTTCACAGCCTTCTCCCATTCCTTGCCGTTGATCGCCTCTATGGTGACGCTGCTGACTGTCCCCTCGTCCAGGCAGTGTGGAGCTATTCCTGAGAGAAGGAGAGAAGCTTCATCAGGCAATGCTCTCGGATTCCTGGGGATGGTCCCCTGAACTCTTGTGTTTTTGTCCCAGGTATGGTGAAGCTGTGGCTCTACAGATGCTGCTAGACTCCGATTTACGTGCCGGATTTACGTATAAGCTAAACAAGCTATAGCTTGGGTCTCCACTCTCCCCCCAAAAAATGTAAAGGGGAAAAAACTGAATGTACATTTCCAAAATGTAAGATAAAAAACAAATAAAATAAAACCTACATACAGCAACAGTGTTTTGTGTTGTGTAGGCTCCTATTTGTTATGTGCAAATGGCTTTAGATAACTATTAGGTCCACGAATTACCATACAGCATATATTCAACACAAAAAGCAACAGCAATTTGTTGTTGACAAAGGAGAGCTGGGCATATAAAGGGTTCCCATTACCTTCATTAGCTTAAAAGGTAAATGGTAAAGGGACCCCTGACCATTAGGTCCAGTCGTGGCCGACTCTGGGGTTGCGGCGCTCATCTCGCTTTATTGGCCGAGGAAGCCGGCGTACAGCTTCCAGGTCATGTGAGCAGCACAGCGAACCAGAGCAGCGGACGGAAATGCCGTTTACCTTCCCGCCGGAGTGGTACATATTTATCTACTTGCACTTTGATGTGCTTTCAAACTGCTAGGTTGGCAGGAGCAGGGACCGAGCAATGGGAGCTCACCCCGTCGCGGGGATTCGAACCGCCAGCCTTCTGATCGGCAAGTCCTAGGCTCTGTGGTTTAACCCACAGCGCCACCTGCATCCCTTCAGTAGCTTAGGGCCTTATCAAACTTAAATCCAGACCTGACTCCTCCCATCAACCCACAACTATCATGGCCAACCAACAGGGATTATGTGAGTTGGAGTCCAACAACCTTTTAGGGGCCACAGGCCCGCCACCTGACAGCAGGCTCAATTCTCCAAGCGCTGGTTCTTACATAGGCAAAAGGGCACCATCCGTACGCAGGATGGAGATACTGTCAGGCTTGGGAGAACCCTCCAGTTTTGCAGGAGTACAGAAGTCTTTAAGAAAAGAACTCTCACTCGTTCGAAACACCCCTAAAAGCACCTTATTGGGACTGGGGGTCTTCAGCAGCCACAGAATGCTGACTTGTCTGTTTGGGAGTGAAGGAGGGCAACTGGAATGGAGTATACTGGGGAAGGGTAGCTGGAACTCCAAACTGGAGCACCTCGTGCTGCAATGTAACACTATCAGTTGCGTTGGGAGGGGGAAGCTGTACAGAAAGCAGCAAACCAAGGAAGACTCCCCCCCCCACCCGCCACCCTCTTCAAGCCTCAGGCCCCCCGTGGACAACTCCCTACCGTAGCCGTCTGGGTTGGAGCGGGGCGTGTAGAAGCTCTGGACGCCGCATGTCTTGCAGAAGGTGTGCTGGGCGCAGTGGGTGTTGAAGGTGTAAGTGGCGAGGCTGTCGGCACCCTTGGCGAAAAGGACGACAACAGCATGACCCTTAAGCCTTTCTAGACAAGGTGCTTTTCCCGAGGCGCCCAAAGCGCTTTGCGCCAATGAGCGCAGTGCGCCCCACAACCAGCTGGTAAGGTTGGATCCCTGCAGCGCACTCTTTGTGAGCCTGCCCTTGAGGCTGGTCAAGGGAGCCACAGCTGGTGCAGAATCCAGCAGCCAGGAAGACCTGTTCGATAGTGGAACGGTCTCCCCTGGGAGGTGCTGGCCTCCCCTTCCTTCCTTGGAGGTTTTTGAGCAGAGGTTAGATAGCTCTCGGCCAGGGACGCTTTATAATAATAATAAATTATTATTTATACCCTGCCCATCTGGCTGAGTTTCCCCAGCCACTCTGGGCGGCTCCCAATCGAGTGTTAAAAACAATACAGCAATAAATATTAAAAACTTCCCTAAACAGGGCTGCCTTCAGATGTCTTTATATAGATAAGATAGCTGCTTATTTCCTTGACATCTGATGGGAGGGTGTTCCACAGGGTGGGCGCCACCACTGAGAAGGCCCTCTTGTCTGGTTCCCTGTAACCTCACTTCTCGCAATGAGGGAACCGCCAGAAGGCCCTTGGCGCTGGATCTCTGTCCAGGCTGAACGATGGGGGTGGAGACGCTCCTTCGGGTATACTGAGCCGTTTAGGGCTTTAAAAGTCAGCACCAACACTTTGAATTGTGCTCGGAAACGTACTGGGAGCCAATGCAAATCTCTCGGGACCGGTGTTATGTGGTCCCGGCGGCTGCTTGCAGTCACTTTAGCTGAGAGTCCTGCATTGCAGGGGGGGTGGACTAAATGACTCTCAGGGTCCCTTCCAACTCAACAATTGTGCTGGACTATGTGAGTCCAGCAGGTCTCTCCTTCTGCATTAGCATACAATTTCCTGAACGACTCAGGACCAGCTTACCTGTAGGGCTACCTTCCCCTATACAGGATCATCAGGAGGAGAAGGGCTACCTTCCCCTATACAGGATCATCAGGAGGAGAGCTTGCTGATAGAAACTGTGACCTACTGATTGTCATCTGGTGGCTATAGGAAAGCAGGGCATGCTTAGGGCTGGCTCCTCCCATGCTCAGGAATGCCCTCAACCCCCCCCTCACCCACTGGGTCCCTCTCTGGGGTCATCAGCTGGCAACTCCTCCAGCCCCTTCAGCATCCTGATCTGACCAGCCCCTCCTCTTGACTTTTGCCTTTTTGTTTTCCATCGTTCCGTTTCTCCTCATTTAAACTGTTTTAATGTGTGTTTGTTCCCTTGAAAACCCCTTTGAGATTTCTGCAAATGGAAGCAGTGCCAGAGATATCATAAAATAAAAAGGATCCCATCATTGCAGGTGGAGGGAGAGAATCTGGCTTTGGGAATAGTCCAGCAGTCCTTCCGATGTTGCTGGGCTGCCAACTCCCGTCATTCCACTGGGAGCTGGAGCCTTGGGACATCTGGGGGGCAGCCAGAGGCTCCCCCAGGCCTGGAAGAGCAGCTGCTTGCTGCCTTCATTGCCAAAGGCAAGAGCCGAGGCGTC